TAAGCCCTGAGCACAAAAATAGAATCGAGATTTCTACAGCCATCTGTATTTACGGCTGGGGTACGACAACCGAAAAATAATTATGTACGTAAAAGTTTTATGCATGAATACTTATGAATTACGCCAAAATAACTATCGTTAATTTTTGTTTAAATATACAATTTCGTCCTGTAACGTACACAGCTATTTCCAATGGAGGGGGTTTATACAGGGCATTTCGAACAGTCGAACTATAATTTATGAAGGTGGGAGAGAGGTAAGACCTATCAATTTGTAACAAAAAATTTTTTATCGCCTTGCTCGAAAACTATTACTTATATAATATTAGGTACACACAAAAATGTGGGGGGGGGGATATTTTTACTTAATTACATACAGTGAAAAAAATATTAAGGGGGGGGGGATTCGACCCAAGAACTAGAACCTTGATGATTTTTACGGTTCCGGTTCGGTTTTTAGAATAACTAAAATTTCGGTTCCAGTTACTTGACGGTTTTTAAAAAATGAACATTTCGTCACCTGTCTTGGTTTTATACTTGTACTTACTACTGTTAAAAAAACTAGTTCCTTTTCGATTCTTTAAAATTATAATGAAATATTGGTATTGTCAATTGGCGTCAATTATTATGAAGAGTCAATTCAAATTTGCAACCAGATATCTTATTATTTGCTTACGACTAAATAAGTGAAAAATGTACTCATCACTGTCACTTCATATACGACGCCGTTTCAAATAAGAAACCAAAATTAATCCTAAAAAACCTTTCCATAAAAGTAAAAGTATTGGTTCTGGTAATGTTCCGGTTTTTAAATTAAGTTAAATAAGAATTTTGGGGACGATTGTAAACCGCCAGAATACCTGTTGAATAAAAAGGTAATGAAAAGGTCCAATGACTCCAATGTAATCTCTGCCATTTTTGTTTTCTTACCTGTAATGGATATATGGTAATTCCGCCAGTGCTTATGTAAAACTTCATAATATATCTCAAATAAAGGAGCTCAAAAATCCAAAATGATTGTGCTAGAGAACGTTATAAATGGTTTTGATAATAGATATATATTAGACTGAGATATCAAAATATCTACAAATTATATCTCATCATTTAAGTTCACAGTTCCACATATTATAGTATAACATAACATACCTAGGTTGCTAGATACATATTTTATGATCATTACAATTATTTATTATGATAATACATTATTACCTATACATGACAATTTGGATGCTTTGTTCTGACAATTATTATTTTTATGAATTTTTGAAAATTTTTCGGGATATTATAGTACATGATATCTGATATCTGATATCTGCCCAATATATTAATTTTATTCTGTGACTTGATTTTCTTCACTGGCGAAGTTTACATGAACCCAATTTTACCCCTCTTCCCTCGCATGTGTATGCCATTGATTTCATCAACATTTTAACTTCAAAATGTCTAAAACAAAATCGGGCTTCTATATTTTTTAGGATTCAATATGAATTATTCATAGAAAATTGTATACTTCACATCAGGCCTTCTCTATAAAAATTTAAGATTTTTAAAAAAATGTTTGTAATTAAACACCCTTTACAACACGAAGAAAAAAGCCTCTGACAAAACAAAGACGATTAAAAAAAAAGTATCTTCTTAGGATATTGTTAAATTTAATTTGATGCCAATATCAATGTCCCTATTGTAAAGCATACATGTTTGTACAAATTTGAACTTTAAATCTTAATAAAAAAAAATCATGCTATGTATTTTAAATATTTTGATAACTGCTATTGTAACAATATATCAAGAGTCTTATATTAAATTTTTATACTTTTTGACCCAACCAATAAAATTGTATTATTGACATTATAAGAAAAGAACTAAAAAAAATGAAAATTGAAAATGCCCTACAACAACTCAAATGTATCGAAATATTTTTAGAATTTTATCAAATATATAAATGGACAAAATAAACATATGGTGTAAATTTCAAGTATCTACAGTTTTTCGTTTTTGATTTATAACAAAATAAGAAAATAGTTACATAAGAAATCTAGTAAATATCCATATCATAAAAATTTCAACTTTAAACGCTCATAAAAATTAAATTTGACCTTCTGGTTGAAATAATTTGCAAGTTTTCGTGATTTTTACGTATTTTGTCAAAATTTGAAATTCAGACGCTCATAAAAAACTATTGTAGACTTACTCTCAACTTTTTTTTAATTTCCTCTGACAACAACTTATAAGGAACAGTGTATTATATTTTCAAGCTTTTTGGCCGAGCTATCATTTTTTTATAGACATTGATCGAAAAAAAACAAATAACAATCGAATATTTCATATGTCTATTAATAGTTCAACATGAGTCAAAATATTTTGAAAATTGTATGGTGTATAGAAAATACTAACACAAATATTCGGCGAACATATTTTCATGTGTCTATGAATTTTAATTTTCGCTCTCCCGAATGCACCAACTAGATTCCCTTTCCTACCAGAAAATATGCTCTTGGAGAAAATCAAAGCACTTCTACTGCTCCAAAAGGTGATGACGGACACAAAAAAAATAAAAATAAAACACATTGTAAAATCAATACATTCGTTTCAGAATATAAAATAATAATCCAAATAAATTTGTTTTTTTTTGTATAATGTCTTTAAATTATGTAAAAAAAAATCTCCAAAAACAATCATACTTTTGAACTTTTTGAAATAAAGTATGTTAATGGGAAAATTAACTATGCTAAAATTATTGAATTTATAGATGTCATCCACTGATAAGATTCGAAAACTTTGTCGAATTTGTGGTGATGTTGGTTCCATAAATATATTTGGATCATTAGGACAGTCATTGGATTTATCTGAAAAGATTAACACACTGTTGCCAATAAATGTACGTACCTACTTGTATAATATATTAAATACCTGTATTGTTTTCATTTATTTTTTTAAGAAATTGTATTATGTTGATATTATGTTGTCATAGGCGTAACTAGGATTTAATGGTTACAGTGGCTAGAGTTCTAGAAAACTTATGTTCAAAATAACTTGGGAGGGCCCCACAACCCCACCATCACATTAAGTGTAACTGTCCTCTAAAATCAAAATCAAAATCAAAAATAAACAATAAAATGTAAGTTTAAACTCATCATTAAAAACAAAATGTAAATAATAAAATAAGCACAATATATTATATAGGGGGCTAAATACACACATAGAGGGGCTAAGCTCTCTAGCCCCCTAGTTACGCCGATGATGTTATAATATATTAATATGTATTATAAATAAATGGTTTTAATATAATTAATATAATACCTATTTAATTTTAAGAATAATAGAAGTAATAATAATTTTTAATTTTTAAATTTGGATTGAAGATATCACTCAACGACCGTCTTTCAATAATGGCTTGTGATGCTTGTGTCAATCAAATAATTACAATGAATCAGATAGTGGGAATAGCTATTCATACCAACGAGTTGATGATCAAACTACTGGAAAAAAAAGATAGTGTAAGGGATTAGCCAGTTCGGCGATTGTTAATACTATAATTAAATAATATATAGGCAGATACAGTGGTGTATTGTTAAAAATATTCATGGATATACACTATACGCTTTCTTGACTTATCTCTTAACCTTCTTAAATCTTAGGTTTTTATTAAAAGATATAAGTTAAAAAAATGTTTTTCTTGCTTCGCTTGAATACACTTACAACCTTATAATAAGTATCAGATTAGAACTAAAGTATTTTCCAACACCTAACTGAATGAAAAACAATAAAACCACACAATGACTTTTCATTTTAAATATAGTCATAAAATAAAATATATTATGACCTTTAAAACAAAAATTGTCTAAATATGTACTAAATATGTTGAGTAGGTATTTGATCCCAAATTTTGTGAATCGTATTCTCACATCCACGTTTTATGATGAAATTAATTTTAATAATCATTGTTATTAATAAACGATTCAGAATTGAGCTTCGGCGTTAATATATTGTGTATATCTATCTATAGTCTATACATTTAAAATCCAAATACCACCTAGTCACTGATCGCTGTAACTCAAAAACTACGCAACGTACGAACTTGAGATTTGGAATAGAGGTTCTTCTCATATTTTCACCGAGCAATGATAAAGGGTTTTCAAAAATGTTGCGTTATAGTAGAGTAATTAACAATCATAATTATTCATTGTCAATATGTATTGTGCTGCAAGGCACGGGCTCATGGCGGCTCGCTTATTTCCAGCTACCTGCAACCTATCCTTTTTGTCCGTCGTGTTGATAAGAATTGTTCCGAGAAGTTATAGGGATATATTGTAAATATGAAAAAAAAAAACAAAACTACACACGGGCGAAGTATATTAGTATTATGTATATATACCTATACAGTTTTACCACAGACTATAAAATATAAATAGTACCAAGTCCGTGCTTATACCTGCATGGCTGCTTCTATAGTAATTATGATACCCAAATAGCCACACCCATACAATTATGTATACATATTATACATTTACAAGCATAACGAGTTAGACATATAATATTTATATCAGTATATTATACTATCTGAAACTGGTAGTTGGTTTTCTAAATATTTTTTGATAACCAGCTAAAAATATTATGTACTAAGTAGTAAATATTATCTAAGAAATGAAAATTACAAATAATTATAGAACAAGTTGTTTTCATCACCGAAAATTCTAATAGATATATGGGGTAATACTGCCGAATACCCGCGTATCATCGTTTATTTAGTCAGTAAACGTTAAAAAAACTAGAGAAGTGAATTACACAGTAACCCTCCGCCGTGACCCCGTATGGTATACCCGCCAATACACCACTGAGTAGATATAAGATACTTAGATACATCATACATATACGATATACATTATAATTTATATTATGTAGGCATCTATAGTAAGGATGTTGAAGAACATATTTACATATGTAAACGGTTAGATACGACTGAACTGTTATTAACGTATGATAATAAAAGTGAATAATGTTGGTGTGGTGTACCTATCTAGCTCGAGTGATTCCGAACTTGTTTTATCAAAAATAAATATTATTATTCGATGCTTATAATATTGTAGCAATTACTCATTCTCGTATTCGTTTGTCCGACATCCGGACTATATAGGATATAGCACATACTTACACGTTCTTGGTACCTAAGTTTTCTACATACCTATTATTGATTATTAGGGCTCGGATTTTGTATCATATTGTTCTTCTGTTTTTCTATATAAGAAATTTGACTTAAAACTTAGTTACACAAATACATTCCATGTCATTCTGATTCCAAATAAATACATTTTTTATTGCTTTTTTCCAATTATTCCGGTCGTGTCATTTTTATATGTTTATATGCCTTATTGATAAAAAAACTTAATTTTATTTATAGGATATGAAAAACTACATTTCTTATTTATGTATGGTAGTATAGATACTTACAGCAGTGGCGTACACAAATATTTTCGATGATGGGAGGGGAGGTGTGCTATATAAAAAAAATGATATGTACGTACATGTATATAATATATCAAAATATTCATTAATTTGTATGCATCTTTACATAAAGTGTAAAAATACCAGGGGGGTTAACCCCCTCCCTCTCATATTTTTACGCCACTGACTTACAACTCTAAATGTATGTCAAACACGGAATACGAACTAAAGTTATTAATCATGATACTTACTTATAACTATTATGTAGTATGTATTCACTGCACTATCACTATTATTAATATTAATATTATGCTAGAACTAATACCTTAAATTTAAATTAATATTCATGCTGAAGTACCTCCGATGGGAGGTCTCTTCATTCAGTCTCTTCTGTCTATTTTTTGTTTATGTTATTATCAATTAAGCTTATTGTTCAATATTGTAACAGATAGCGTAATAAATAAAATTTTGTTTAAAAAAAAAAAAAAATTAATCATGATTGTTTGTTTTCGTTTATCAATCAAACCGATAAACGATATCATTAATGCTAATAATACCTATATAGCCTTTTTATAGACTTATTATATTTTGATTTTTTTAAAAAAATGTATGTATGCTTTTTTGTTATTTATTCTACTTTAAAATCTGAGCTATATTGCTTTTGAGTCATGTTGCATAAACGATGGATGTAGGTAACATTTGATCTAATAATTGAATACGTGTCCTTACTCCTAACTCCTAAGTAGTTTTTTTATTATTATTAGTTAGATTCTAACTACAAATTATTATTTATCAAATATTACAATTAAAATTAAAACAATAATTATAGTACCTAGTTAATAATAACATTTAATACCTATGCATTTTTGAATCCACTGTTTGTTTACAGACCTTTCAAGAAAGGATGCTGCAACTTTGTCGTATCTGTGGAAATCCTGGCCTGTTGCATATTTACAATCAACTTGATGATATTTCGGCGAACTTAGCTGATAAGATTAACTCATTTTTAACTTTCAAAGTAATTTTATCAAATAACATATCATTGTAAAGTATCGGTGTTAATATACCTATTACGTACCTATAAAATGATACTATTATTTAATATACATTAATTTTGATAAACATTTTTAGCTCAATATCTTTGTTAGTTTTGCTAAAAACTGATAGATACTTATAGTGGCGTATTTGTGGAGGGAAATAGGGGCATCCCCCCACGATAATTGTTTTTTTTTTTTACTGTTTTGCGGAAGCTGTAATTATAAGTTAAATTCCATTATTACCTATGAGTATTATGAGTTCTACAAGTTTGAACCAGTGTCTAAAACCCTAACCAAATAAAAATAATAAACTATTGTATTCAAATTTCCTTATATTGTAACAGTTGAGAGATTTTCGTATTGTACCCCCTCTCCTGAAAAATTATCTCAAGTACTCCGCTGGGTACTTATAATCTCGTTTCTAGAGTGGTCATGTTTCTACCTTATGTTATGTGATTGCTTTTTTATTTTTAGGTGTCTCCTGCTGATCAACTATCACTGAAAATTTGTGAAAATTGTATCAATCAAGTAGAAGATGTGTACCCTATATTTGAATATTGTCATAATACTACACAACTAATGTCGATGATTGTTGGAAACATACCACAGGATACAATGAATGTAAGAAGTTATGTTGTAACTTATAAGTTATGCGGACGTCTCACCCTTATTCATGTATTGCCACCGTCTTCCGAGTGGGTAAAATAGCAATTCAGCTGTTCTCATTTAGCTTCGTTAATTTTAATAATAATATGAGACCATTTTCAAAATTTTAGGTAACAACATATTCCGTGGTTTTTGTATATTTTAATTTTGAAGCGAGTTATGAGTACATATTTTTAGATTGTACTGTTTTATAACTCACTTAAAAATTAAAATATCGGAAAAACACTTGTAACAAACACAAGAATATGTTGTTACCTTGTAAAAGATACCTAGGTAAAACTACTGATGTTGCGCATTTGTAACACTAAGACATGCGGGTGAGATTTCTCTTAACAAGCTTAGGATTAATTATAGAATTGTTTTAAGCAAGGGGATAACAGTATAACACACAGATACAACCTGTAGGTACGAGTACCTACACCCCCGTTCAACGTCTGCCTGTCCACCATCTTATTTTTTTATATCGAACTGGGAAGTTACATAAAAAATTCTGAAAGTCAATTTGCATAACTATTAAATAATTTTCAAGTTAATTGATCTTGGTGGGGTAGAGAGAGCAACTGCTCTTGCATTTTTGTTTCATTGTTCGATGTTTAAAGACCGATTTTAAAATGTCAAAAACTAATTTGCTTAATTCAACTCACCGGGGAAGGGGGAGGGGGGTGAAACTTCACGGACACATAAAAGATTTTTAGATACGTAGATGATATTATTTATAATATTTAAACATAGTCACAGCTCGCTACACCTCCCCACTAAAAAAAAGGTTTTGTAGGGCTACTTTTTGTAGAACTACAAAATCTTAAAAATTATTGTTTACATAAAGGTTAATAATTTGTTTTTACAGTGACAATTACATGAATAATTATATATAAAATTGACTAACTTAGTTGACTAGAACATTCATATTTAGTTGACTAGATCAGTTATTATTTATTTAGATACATTTAAAATATTTGATTAGTTATTATAAAATTTGTGTTAGTTTACAACAAATTGTTTTCATTAAATACAATAAAAATAATCTTATTCTTAATTGGTTAGTTAGCATAATAATTTATAAGTATTCATACATTTTTTTTTTAATAATAATAAACAATCCAATAATACATTTTAAACTTAAACTAAACATTTCTAAACTTTAAACCTTACAATATAAGTTATGTCTCAGTTATGTCCAGTATATTGTAATAGCACATGGTATTTATAATTTATTTTTTTAATCGTTTGCATATCCACACCACTCGACAACTTTACAGTGTATGTACTTAAGCAAAATGATGTTAAACAATTTATCGATAATAATATAATAAATCTGAGGCATTGGGTATTTTATTTATATACCTAGCTAAATCCATACAAATTGGGTTTGTTAAATCTCGATCAATTACCATGTCAATTAAAAATCTTTTTATATTTGTCATTATTTCTCGAATCTCTGTATTCTCATATGGCATTAAGATAGAATTATTTGCAGTTATTATGTGTATATCGAAACACTCCGTAAAATTAAACCATTCCCCTTGTTCTGGATTTATATGTATTTGTGTTGCGAAGTTTATATTAATTTGTTGTAACAATTGATTTGCTCTATCCATGTTTATCGTATCCTATGAGATAAATGTTATTATACTGATTATTATTTTATATTTATTTATTTATTTGTTTATTATTTTTTTTTTATTATTATTATGAGGTATATTTTTTAAAATGTTGAGCCAAATTCTCGTATTTATATTTCCTGATCACATAGTCAAATATAATACACTTCGTATAAATAACGTCTGTGCGAGGATCATGAGCATGTGTTAACTTATGCTTTTTATGACATATTTTATCGTGTGTTTCTTCCAGGTTCATTAATCTTCCCCTTTTGTCAAAATATCCCATCTCTACAGTGGCTATTAAATTTATCGGTCGAGCACCACTTGTCTCGCCCGATCTTGGCAAGTTTCCCGAAGCATTACGATCATTATTTTGCTTTTTGTAACATGTGGAGATGTCATGTCCATTCAGTTTACAATATGTACAAGTGACAGTTCCTGGAGTATTATAATTAGTTGGTTATTTTGAGTGTTAGACGGTCGCGTAAAATTATTGTTGGGTGGTCGCGCATTATTATTTCGTCGTAGATTACAGTCGCGTGCGTAATGATTTCCTCCACACTGATAGCATTGGATATTATTTAAATAGTTA